GACTAGGAGAGTGAAGAGTTCATTTACATGTAAAGAAAGCAGCACATCCCTCTGTAAGGGATGTGGATAAACATCTTCTAAAGGAATTGATGGAGTTATATTTTAATACTATTTTTATTAAAGAAACATATATGAATAGTATTTTATATTTAATATATATTTTGAGTTTTTGTGAAGTAAAGCAAAACTGAATTTTTGAACATTATTAGCATATTCTGCCCCCAGGGAATATGAGTCTCAAGAGAATGGCAAAAACACATGTAGAATTCCTCTAAATATGGAACTGAATACCATATTTTCTTTAATTAGATAAATGTCTGGTGTTATGTTTCTATAATTTATGTGAATTGCAACAATAGACCTACCAATTACCCTATTTAAACTTGGCTGGTTCCCCCAAAGACTTCTTACAAGAAAACTTATAATAATAATTAGTTGCCTGTCTTTTCAGAGCCACTGAGGGGCGGGAGGTTACTAATATTCTAGGTTGTAATTTTTGTATGGGTCTATTTTTGCATAGCTCTCCTAGCCAGGAATATTTTTAAATGAAGTGGAAAAATAATTTGGGAAAATACATTCCTATGTGTGTTTGGAAAATGTCCTTTCAAATGGGAAAGGACATTTGAAATAGGTATTTAAAGCCAAACAATAATCTGACTTTTTAAAAAACTGATTTGAGAGAAAAACATCAATTTGTTGTTCTACTTATTTACTCATTCATTGGTTGCTTCTTGTATGAGCCCTGAATGAGGACTGAACCTGGAACCTTGGTTATAAGGGGTCAATGCAACCCAGCCAGGGCTTTATGCATTGGGGAGAAAATGTCCAAAGTTCAAGTCTGAGTACCTTTCTGGTACTATGAAGCATCGAATAATAAAGGGTCATGTATAACGGACGCAGATTCTAAGTTCAGTTATTAGTCAGTCAAGGAAACTGAGTGACTGATTTGCCACTCATTTCCACCAGTACAGAAATCATCTACAAACCATTAGGTGCCACTAGGAAAGAATAAAAATGAAGACACTTGTGTTTATAAGGGAGCTGGTTGGAAGTTCCCTACTCACTAAGAATAGAGGGACAAAATAAGGGAAGAGAAATGATACACAGAGGATTTTTTGAAATGCATAGTGCTATAACTTCATAATTTTTTTATTTCTCTTGAGAGCCTTGATTAACAAACTACAGGTCCCAGAGGCCTACAAGCAAATAGAATTCCATGTAGTTGCAATATCCAGAAATTGAAGTAAGGAGATGTGTATCTGCATCCTGTTCCATCACTTATTGGTGGTATTTCCTTCAGCGAAACAGTTAAGCCACCATTTCCTCCTCTGCCAAAGTGGTAATGTTTCTCTGGCGACTGCTGTGAAGATTTAATCAGGTAATGGGAATCCCTAGACTGTAAATCCAGGGTCAGGATGGCCTGTTTGTTTTCAGTTGTATCCCCAGACACCTAGCCTGGGATCTGGTAGCAGATCGAGTCCCAAGAAATATTTGTTGAGAGAATAAATAAAGCATTTATTAAATTGTAAGGAGTTATTCAAATGTTCTTTTTGTATTATTACTCCTTTTCCACCAATTTATTCAGTCCTCCCAATTGAGCAGTAAGACATGTTATTCTTCTGAAAACATGAATTCCTACACAACTTTCTTTTGCTCTTCTTTATTATAAGAAACACAAAACCTAAGACACTTTTAATTTGACATTTTTTCACACATTTTACCAGTTTGCCCTTTTGTAGTGTACCATTTCCTCTTGAGCATTTTCTTCCTCTTTGTGCACCATCCTTCTTAGAAAACGTCACAAACCACAATGTAAAGTTAGTGCAGTATAAACTTGAGACTTTCTTCAGGTGGAAATGGCAGTGGTGCAAATGATTTTGTAACTAAGTCTATACTGGTCAGCCAGCTGATATAATACAATAATCACTTCCAATTGTTAATCCTTTTTATTTCAACAAGTCTTGGATTTGACAAATGAAATTCAGCTGTCTTCTCAAATGCAGTAAAAGGCACTTTGAATTTGTATAAATCATTTAAAGCAACAGTCCCCAGCCTTGCTGGCACCAGGGATCAGTTTCATGGAAAACAACAAATATAGGGTGAATAATTTTTTTTCCAAAGACTGAGGTTGGGGGGTTGGAATGATTCAAGCGCATTACATTCAAGCTCACCACCTCCTGTGTGGCCCAGTTGCTTAGAGGCTGGGACTGGGACTGGTCTGTGGCCTGGAGATTGGGGACCCTTGATTTAAAGGGAGTTGACAGATATACCCTAATTTATATTTTGGGTAAATCCAGATTCCCATATAATGGATTCGGTTTGCTTAAAGCAAGATACACCAGTAAATACTTACTGGGATAAATCCAAATCAGGTTATATAAGCAATTTTCTTGCCAGAAAATACCAGATAGCTACTGTTGTCTTCAGCAGTCAAAACATATTTAGAAACACCTACTATGTTCCAGACACTGTGCCAGGCCCTGGAAATACTATGGTAAGTAAACACAGATATTACTCCTCAGCCCATGAAGTGGAACATAGAGTCTAGTGGGAGAGATAGATTTAATTAAATAATTCCATAAACAAGGGAGTAATTACAGATTAAGGGAAGGGGAAGTAGTCTGAGAGAATGGAACAAAAGTTCTTTAACACCCAAGAGGGAAACTCAACCTAGAATGGAAGGGAGATAATCAAGGAAGCTTATACAAGGAAGTGAAATTTAAGCCAAAGGAAGTACAGGAGCTAATGAGGAAGACGGTGGTGAGAAGAGCACAGCACACTGGAGAAATTGCATGGGCTTGGCAAGTGTGCAAGAATAAGGAAACACTGAAGAGGAGTTTAGGGAAAAGGAGTGGACATAAAATGGTAGAAAAGAGTCAGAATCAGCAGGAATCTAAATGCCTATTAAGACATAATGCTGATTCATTAAACATTTTTTAAATAAATGATTTGGAATGGAAAAATATTTTTATCCTCACAAAATGTAAGGTTCACTCTCTGTGGAAAACTAATCATTCTCTGGCCTTAGTTTTGGGCACTCTTTACCACCAACTGGTGTGTTTGCCTTATTATACACAGCCTTGGATTTCTACTTTCCGAGTAAAGGTGGCTGTTGCTGAACAATGAGGGAGACTTTGTTGAGTAGTGGCATCAGTATGCAATTAGTTCCTATTTACCTTTTAATTTGATAAAAATTAGCTTTTAGGAATGCTTTTAATCAACCAACAAAAAACAAAGTTATAGTTTGGAGACTTCAACATTTATTTCTTATCTTCTGTAGCCTCTTTTAAATCAAATAAAGCACCTCTTCCCACCAAATTAAAAGGTTCCTTTTAACTTAAAATAATGAGCACATTGTCTGAACATAGCCCATAATCTTTCCATCAATATTTAAAAATGTTCTTACAGAAATTATTTACTAAAAGGAATAACTGTTTTACACTCATTGTCCTTCCATTTACTCAGCTGATTCAAATAGGCTGGGCAAATCATGATTTAGTTTTTTTACATAGGCTGTTAAAAGGGGATGATATTTATCATAGGACATAGGAATCCAACTGTCATGTTGGATTTGCTGATGTTCTTTAGGTCATAGTCACATGGCAAAGTCTAGAGTTTTGTTATAATTATAGGTTTGGTTAGTCAACTCCTTGGGAGACAGCTGGAGTTTGAGAATAGAGATTTGGGTTCCAATCCTGATCCTGATGCCAGGAGACTGAATTAGATATCAATCCTCATTTCTTCATCCATGATGCATAAAGGTGCAGGACTGCTGTGACGATTAGGTCTTGTAGTAGTCAAGCATAAGTACTTTATAATGGAGTTAAATAGACCTGACTTCAAATTCTGACTTTGATAACTTCATTTGTTCAATGTCTTGAAATATTTATTTTAAACTGTGCATAATGCAGGCAAGCATAGCCCAAAGATATTGTAGGTTCAGTTCCAGACTACCACAATAAAGCCAGTTGTAATCTCTTTGCAGGTGGAGGGTCTTGCCTTCAATTTATAAAAAATAGATCTGTGAAGCTCACTAAGTGAAGCACAATAAAACAAGATACAGTACTTTGGTATCACCCTGTATTTGTTGTGAGGATTCAATAGAGATAAGGTATGTAACTGGCTTTGTCCAGTACCTGGTATATAGAAAGCACCCAGTAACCACTGTCTGTACACATGATAACCCATGATAGTAGTTTCATCCTAGTCAGCATAAACTATTCAAAAGGCCTTCGACTTAACTATTTATAGTACCACTTGGTGTGTATTTTTTAATGTGGTTGCAAACATTTATATATTTTTTAATATACATTCCCTATAGGAAACTGAAGACACCAAAATTTAAGTCTGCAGCCCCCTCCTCTCAAGCTCACTAGAACCAAGTCCTGTAAACACTACGCCGTTGAGTCATATCAAAGGATCCCAGGTATGACTGCTTGCTGGAGGCAACCACTCGTTCTAACTTTTTAAGATAAAACAGGGGAGCCGATGAAAATAATCAGTTGTAAACATTCAAGATCAAGATACAGTGGGAAAGACACCTCGCTGAAGTTGGGGTGCCTCTCCCCAAGGTTTTGAGGCTCATGTGCTGCAGTCTATTTTTTAAATTTCTACAGGCTTTTTTATAAGCATGCCGGGATCATTCCCACAACCACTGCTTGAGTCCAGCGAAACCCGAGCACAGTCAAGGAAGGGAATCTTGTTCCGAAATAGGTGACGCATGCTCTACAGGCCATGGCGGCGCGTCTCCCTGGCCCGCTGCACTGACCACATGTGGTCCTAGGAGGTAGCTGCCCGCCTGGAAGCCCATCCAACCCGCAGCCGGGCTCGGCGTCGAGATAGTCGTGGGGCGTTGCTGTAGCCCCTTTTGGCGGGCTCCTGCGTGCCGAGGCTCCGCCCCCCGGCGCAGTCTGGCCCACACCCGCGGAGGTGGGCACTGCACCCCCATTGGCGGAGCGGTCCGTATGACCCCGCCTCCTCTCGGTTCAGACGCTAGCACGTTTAGTGGCGGGGGCTGGCCGAAGAACTGCACAAGCGAGGAGCGGCTTCTAGAGTCCAACAGCACGGTTGGGTCGCTGGCTTTGGGGCCCGCGAGAGGCTCCTGGGTTGCTAGAGCGGCCCACGGCCACGGGGGGAAGGGGGTGGGTGGGCTGAGAGCAGCTAGGCGGCTACGCCGGCCCGCCGCCCCTTCCCCCCCACCCCAGTCGACCTTGTTGGCAGAAGCTTCCCGGGCCTCCTCACGCCGGCGCAATGGCGACTACTGCGGAGACAGAAGCTTACCCGCCGACGGACTCGAGCTGCGAAAGTGGCGGCGGTGGCGGCGGCGACGAGGAGATGAAACAGGAGCTTCCGGAGCTTGAATCCTCCTCACAAAATGGCGGCGGTGTCCTCAGCATCACGGAGCCCGGCGGCGGCGCCGGGCCTGAGGAGAACGCTGCGGCCGAGGCCACGGCAAGCGTCAGCCAAGAGCAGCCTCAAGACTCTTCTGAGGCGAGCGCGGCCGCTCTCCTCAAAGGCCCCGAAGAGCCCGAAAGACCCGTTAGGAGGATTTTTCAGATCCCCAGGAAGAGCAGAGAAAAGAAAGGTGGTGCTTCCCCTCTTCCCCAATTCCTCTTTCTCTCTCCCCTCCATCTTTTCATTAGAATCTGTCTCCTCTTCCCACACCCATGCGAGACACGTAAACACGCATGCAGCGCCAACCGCCTCTTCCCTCACTGCCACGGCCGCCCAGCTGCTGCGCTTGGTGCGAGAGGAAAGCGGTGGAACCACGCTCCCCTGCTCCCCCTTCTCCCCGTGGAAGTTGGAAGTAGCTCAGGTTTGAAGCTTGTCCGTAAGGCTGCAGCTCCCAGAGAGGAAAGATGGTGCTCGGCGCCCCTCCCTCCCACCCCTGAAGGCAGAAAAGCTGATGTGTCCTCCTAATGATGCTTCTGAGAAGTCTCACTGTGGAAATAGCCCGTGGCCATGGATTCTGGAGCTTTCTCCAAGGCCATTGTTCAGAGGATCACAAGTGCTTCTCCCTGTGGAAATTCTTCAGCTATATGTGTCTACTTGAAATTTGCTGGATGTCAGCGTCTTCCCTTGTTTAGAAATATCCATTAGATGTGATCCATGCACACTGCTATTTTTCATCACACTTCATTTCCATGTAGATATTTCTTGTTTTTGAAGCGTTTGATTAAATAGGTCTCTCTCTTTTTAAATACAAACTTCAGTGTATTTTTAAACTGTATTTGGGAAGAATGGGAAGGTAGGTTCTTGGTGCAGTAACTTCCCTATGGGAAAAAAAAAATAGGGAGAGGTTAGCTTATGCCCAAGAGTCACCAATTTGATGTTGCAGATGAGAACTTAAGATTTAAAAAAAAAAAAGTCCAGGCTGATTTTTGGAGCCAATGTGGGAAGTTACATGAACTCCATTCCCCCCTTTTTTTTTAAAGCATAATGCCACACTGACACAATTTAATGGAAATCAAACTTACTGTTTTCTATTATAGTACTACTTTTGACTATCCTGTGATTTGGATATTCTGGAGTTAGTCAATTTAAAGCTTCTTTTTGATTTACTGCGTGGTTCAGTTTGTCATGATTTACTTTGGAAAATAATGGGAATTTTTTTTTATTTAGAGAAAACTTATTTGTAATTTGAATCATAGTAAAGACTTAGGATCTGGAAGGAAGCATGTGCTTCTTTCCGTGTGCACAACCAGCTCCATTAGCGCAATTGAAATCGTTAGAGCCTTTTATCAGTTAGATGAACATAAAGTCAAACTGTTAGTTTCTATTTGGATGACAAAGCCAAGGAAAGCCTTATTAGAAACCATGGTAACAAAGGTGAAGTTACCTTTTGTCTACCACCATAAGGAATATTTCCAGAAGTAACTTTTCAGTGAGTTAATGTAGTTGGCTTGTAAAGGTTGTCAATTTTGATTTAGGTATATAGTATAAGCTATGTGAGGCAAATTAGATGCCTAGCCTAAATTACCAGTTGGTAGTAGTTTGGAAGTACATTCAGATGGGCTCTGGTTATGAGGTAGGAGATTGAATTTTTTTTTCCAGTTTGATGAAATTTTGAAGTTAATTTATTTTAGGTTTTAAGTGTCCAAAATATGGTTTATGGTATATCATAAGCCATGATATACCACCTTTTACCTTTTGATAGGATCAGAAAACTGGCCTAGAAACCATTACAGTTTGGTTTGAAATGAGGGAAGGCTCTAGGAAATGTTGAAAGGCACTGTGTGTGTGTGTGTCTTTTTTAATAAGATAAATTGCGAAACTGCTGTATTTGAATACACTAAATGTGGATATAATTGGAAATTATGAAATACGAAATTTTCTCTCCTGAGACTGATGCCCCTTGGGGAAAATTTATATTTTTCATTTTCACTTAAGTGGTAAAAGGTTGTCACCTTTCTTTTGTCAGGGAGGTTATGTATAAGGAAAATATAACACAATGGATTTTTTTCATGTTTAGCGAAAATGAGTAATTTTTAACTTGTCTTAATATATACTGAGCAGCAGCTATTCAAATAGTGCAATAACAATTTAAATAGAGCCTTTAAAAATTAAATAAACAACTATTTTACCACCATGGACTTGATCCTGTCTAACCGGAGAGCAGTTGGTTTTTGGTGATAGAATTTAGTAGAAAAATTCAACTTTTCATTATTTTTAGAAAATGCTTTATCAGAAACTGTGCAGCAGATAATGCTAGTTTTACATTTCATTTCAAAATCATTTCTTGGAAGTCATGACAGGTGTAAGATTTGGCTAGATATTAGTTGTGGACATCTAAGTCTACTAATCATGAATAGTAGATCATTTCTAGTAGACACCTGCTTGAACTTTTCAGTATCAAAGTTTCTGTTGCATTCATTTTTTAAATATGGGAAACCTTTTCTTGTACCTATGCTTTTCCAGTGAAATTTAAGATGAGGACTTAAATATTTTTGGCACCTTAAAGGTAAATACTATGTGAGTATAATGCATTGATTTAGAAAGTTCTTGGTCTTGACAGTAGTGTAGTATCCAAAATACTGCTCTTGTAATTAAGTAATATTGGCAAATATTTCATAGTGCTTATCCTGAGTAGTTTATATGTATTAACTAAATCTCAATACTATGTGGTAGGTACTATTCCCATTTTATAGGTGAGGAAAGTGAAATACTGGTGGAAGATTAAATGATTTGCCCAAGGTCACACAGCTAGTATTAAATGATGGAGTTGGAATTTGAACCCAGGTGTAGAGCAGGGACCTGTTTCTTGGAAAACAATCTTTCCACGGATTGGAGTAGTGAGGGGATGGTTTCAGGATGATTTGAGTGCATTGCATTCAAGCTCACCTCCTGCTATGTGACCTGGTTCCTAACAGGCCTGGAGGTTGGGAACTGCTGGTGGTAGAGTACCTGTCATTACTCAAACTTAGCAAGAATATTCTTTCTTTCTTTTTTTTAAAGGCTTTATTTCTTTTTAGAGAGGGAAGGGAGGGAGATAGAGAGAGAAACATCAATGTGCGGTTGCTGGAGGTCATGGCCTGCAACCCAGACATGTACCCTGACTGGGAATCGAATCTGCAATGCTTTGGTTCGCAGCCCGCGCTCAATCTACTGAGCTACGCCAGCCAGGGCTGAATTTTCTTTCTTTTTTTTTTTAGATTTTATTTATTTATTTTTAGAGAGGGAAGGGAGGTAGAAAGAGAGAGAGAGAGAAACATCAATGTGCAGTTGCTGGGGGCCATGGCCTGCAATGCAGGCATGTGTCCTGACTGGGAATCGAACCCACGATGCCTGGTTCGCAGCCCGCGCTCAATCCACTGAGCTACGCCAGCCAGGGCATGAATTTTCTTTTTTTATAATGGAGTTTTATTATGCTTTTGAACTGACCTATTTAAAAAAATGTTTTTTTAACCTAAATTTAGAAATATTTAGCATGTCTTTATCTCTGGGAATTGAGGTTATGTTCATTTAAAATTAATGAATTTAGTCAATATTGACATATTAAGTGACCTAACTATTGACTGGAAGAGTAAAATTTTACTCTGTGTTATTTATTGGCTGGGCTATTTAATATAGTAGTTTAAAGAGGCACTGTTCTACATTTAACCAAATTGTAGAATTGCATTTTGTTAGTAGATATTTCACTATTGGCCTTCTTTTACTTTAAAATCTAATACTGTAAGTCATCAAAAGTAAGTTAAAGTGGTAAATGTATTTGATAGAGTTCGTTTTCTCCAAAGTTTTTGGGGATCACTTTCTATGAAAAGTTTTTTTTTTTTTGGTCAATTTTTTCTGTAGAGCATGAGATTAACTGCTCATGTGCCTCTGTTTCATGCATGTGTCTTGTGTATTACCTGCTTACTGTCATGTACCTGCATCCATACTGGTGTAGTCTATGGCTAATTCTTCTCCCCAACCTCCATCTTCCACAAACTTTGCAATTGTCTTTTTGAAGACTCTGGAGCAAAGTTTCCTTAAGGAAATTGGCTTGATGTTTTAGTAGTTATATAGGAATGACTGGGTTCTAAGTACCATAGAGTTCCCTACATAGAAGTAAACATGAAAAGGATATTGTAGTCAGAATCCAGTTATTCACAAAAATTGTTTGATAGGTGCATGCAAATACTAGGTAATGGAAATAAAATTTTCTTTGACCTAGTCTTGAGTCCAAAAAGTCAGCAGTGTTCTATTTGTACTTGTCTTCATAGATGTCTGCCAACTTACTCATTCCTAATTCTGCATTATGTTCAACATTGGTTTAGAGATGAAATACCATTCCTAAAGTATTACATCTGTAGCAATTTATTAGATTGAAGAAAAGGTTTTTTTAAGTAACCTAATTATTATAAGGAACAAATGGGTATTTACTGTATTTCAATCATTAATACTAGTAGACTTTAGAGTCTACTTTAGAGAGGTGGATTCAGAGAGAATTGCAGACCATATGTGATCCACAGTCTCATATCCTTCTCTTCCATGAATCAGTTACTTTAAATTGGAATGTATAGTTCATATCATCCATTTGTATGTTTTGATAAGTGGTCCATCTTTTAAAAGTCTAGCTTCTTTTTATGTATATGTATATAAGCATTTTTTTAACAGATTTTATTTATGTTTAGAGAGGGGAAGGAGAGAGAGAAACTGTGTGGTTTCCTTTCATGCACCCCTTACTGGGGACCTGGGCTGCAACTCCCGCATGTGCCCTGACTAGGAATTGAACCAGTGACCCTTTGGTTTACAGGCCAGCACTCAACCCACTGAGCCACACCAGCCAGGGCATAATAATTTTTTTTTTACATACATACAAACACAAAGATCAGCATTGACACTAAATTGATAAAGGTAATTGAGGGAAAATGTTGCTTTGACTAAGGAACAATTTGATGACCTAAATTTTATGTCTTTTTTGAACTGCTTAAATATAACATTGAATTCTTAGGTATGTTTTGTATCCTACCAGTAATGAAAAACAATGATAGTATGGACTGGGAGTCGGGAGACCTGGATTCAAGTTCTGACTCTGGTACAGTGTTTCCTCATCTGAATTATAAATCTCCAAGTGCCTTTTTAAATCTGTTCTTCAGCCCTATAAAACACATTGATAATCAGTTTTGTCGATAGGGTTGTGAATTATGATCAGAAATCAGCTCTTTAGTTGACATGCATTTGACAAGTCTTGTAAGGAAATAAAATTATATGTGTTTTTTAAAATAACTATTTTTTAGAGAAAGGGGGACGGGGTGAAAAAGGGAGGAAGGGAAACATCAATGTGTGAGAGAAACATTGGTTGCCTCTTGTACACTCCCAACAGGGGACCCAGCCTGCAACCCAGGCACATGCTGTGACCGGGGATCAAACTGCAACCTTGTGGTCCTCAGACCGGCACTCAATCCACTGAGCAACACCAGCCAGGGCTAAAATTATATGTTTTTTAATGTGTGGAAGAATTGTTGCTGCTATTAACCTTTATAAACCAAAAAAAAACGGTGTATGGCTTTTGGCCCTGTTAAATGCATTGAAATGAAAAACAGATTTGAAAGACACATAAAAGAGTAGAAATGGCATAATTTTCGGCATTGTGTTCTTTTTTTATAGTTAATTGTGTATAAGTGTTCTATATTTCCTGTTATAAAATGAGGGAAAAATATATTTTTCTAATTATTGGAAATATTAGTTTGAGTTCTTAAACACACTTTTTTTTTTTAAACTTCTAGTTTGGGATACAAGATTTGGAGCTCTGGGCAGCTTGAATTTGAATGCCAGCAGCCCTATTCATTAACTAATCTTGGGCATGTTAATTTTAGCTGTCTCAGTTTCACTTGTGAAATGGGCATAATGAAATAAATAGGGTGGTTTTGATAAGCAGGTAAGGTAATGCATGTAAACCTCTTTATACAGTATCTGAAAAGCAGTAATGACCCACTAATTATTAGACTCAATAATTATCAGAATTCAGAGAACAGTATATTGTATACTGACTTTAGTGAAATGAATGATTAATACAAAAACTGTTTTCCATTTGAAGTCACAGGATTGTTTATTACTGCCTCAAAAAAATGGGCCATAATTAAGATGATGTATATATATTTTCTGTAAAAGAAGTGACAGGATATGTTGATCAGGGTTTATTTAGACTTGAGAGTGTTTTTTTTTTTTTTGAAGATTTTATTTATTTATTTATTTAGAGAGGGAAGAGAGGGGGAGAGAAACATCAGTGTGCGGTTGCCCCAGGCATGTGCACTGACTGGGAATTGAACCTGCGACACTTTGGTTTGCAGCCCGCGCTCAATCCACTGAGCTATGCCAGCCAGGGCTAAGAGTTGAGAGTATTATTAAGGACAAAAAAAACCACCAGGGAATGTACATTCACAATAAAATGCTTAACTCCCTAAACTACCATTACTGGCACATTGACCTGAATCCTTAAAAGTAGTTAAACTGCATAATTTTATTTTTGTAGAAGTGATAATTGGGAAGAAAAAGTAAAAATTGCAACTCTAGCTGAACTAGTAAAGCTAGCTGAGGCATTTGAAATGTAAAATACTCAAGATATGGTTTATTGTTAGACTAAAAGTCTTGTACCTTTTTTCCTATTTTCATTCACAAGAACTTTTCCCATTGGCACTCTACTTGTGTGTATTTGACTCTTCAGAGCATTACTTTGGGATGAAACAGGAATGTTAAATACTTTTTTGAGACTAACCTGAAAAAATTTGTAAGGTTTTATTTATTTATTTTTAGAGAGATGGGAAGGGAGGGAGTAAGAGGGAGAGAGAGATGGATGTGTGAGAGAAACATTGATAGGTTGCATTGATGGGTTGCTTCTCACATGCCCACAACCTAGGCATATGCCCTGACCTGGAATCGAACCAGTGACCTTTTGTTTGGCATGTCAGTGCTCAGTCCACCAATCCACATTAGCCAGGGCTTGAATTTTAATTGCTATATAAGTTTACATGATTTAATGCTTAATTTTTTATGTAATGGATGATGGAAATAGTGTTGGGGCAGCTTAACTTAGAAATAATTTATTTTATGTAGACTTGTAAAATTTCCAAGAAATTTGAATCCATGTGACACTTTTTGGCACATTTTAGGTATCTAAATTTACTTTGTTAGTTTAGAAACATACAAATCAATTGTGCATAGTTTTTAAAAAAGATTTTTACTGAATTTATTGGTGTGACATTGGTTAATAAAATTATATAGGTTTCAGGATACAGTTCTATAGTATATCATCTATATTTTGTATTGTGTGTTCACCATCCCAAGTCAAATCTCCTTTCATTACCATTTGTCCCTCCTTTACCCTTTTCTACCTCCCCCAGTCCCTTTTCCCTCTGGTAATCACTATATTGTCTGTGTCTGAATTAATTTTTCCTTAATCTCTTCACCTTTCTCACCCTGCCCCCCAACCTACTTTTCCTCTGACAGATGTCAGTCAGTTCTCTGTATGTATAAGTCTGTTTCTATTTCATTTGTTGCTTTTTTAAAAATAAGTTTGTTCATTGGATTCCACATACAAGTAAATCATATGGTAGTTTTTAAATCATTCTTGGCCCATTTTGGATGTGAAAGCCTGTAAAGACTAGTCTGCTTGCTGTTTTTCTTGCCAAGATTTTTTCTGGTTGGGGATAGTCACAGAGAAAAAATGTTTTCTTCCTACCACATTCTAAAGAACAGATTTTAATTTAAAGAATCTGTTTCTCTTGAGCTTTCATTTTGTTTCCTATATTATTCAATTGTTGAATATGTGACAGCTAATTTCAAATGACAAGTCATTTTCTTTTTTAAAGACACTTGACAAAGTCTGTTCTCGTTTACTTATTTAGTCATTGGACTTGGGGCCACAGTTCTGACTGCTGGCATGGTCAAGATAGAGTAATGAACAAGGTAGATAGAGTTACTGCTTTCATGAAGCTTATAATCAATAGATTATTGAGTATATTCATGTAGTAAATATTAGGGTGGTTTTGAGGGCTTTATCCCCTGCCCCCCGCCCCCCCCTGCCCCCCCGCCGGCACTTGCTGCTAGTCAGTGTCTTTATTGTATTATAACTAGGTTGATGCTATTCCTTTTCAAAACAGTTTTTAGCATGTGATCCCACAGTAGTAACCATTGTACAACACGCATTGTTATTGAAAGCTACATTTTTACACTTTTTTAGATATTTTTTAAAAAATTTTATTTATTTTTAGAGAGGGGAAGGGAGGAAAAAAGAGGGAGAGAAATGTGGATCTGTTGTCTCTCTCATGTCCCCAAGTGGGGACCTGGTCCACAACCCAGGCATGTGCCCTGATTCTAGGAATTGATCCAGTGATCTTTTGGTTTGTGGGATGACACGCAATGTACTCAGCAACACCAGTCAAGGATACAAACACTTTTGTAACATGTATATGGCTTAGTAAATTAATAGATGAATGAATTTATCATTTAACATCATGTCCTTAATAACTATGTGTAAAAAATAGAATATAAACAGTTTATTAGTTATGTAGTACCTTTAAGAGGATAAGAGAACACTTTTTGCATTTTGTGACATTTATTGACTATACGTAATGTTTTGAAAGAATAGGAATAAAGTATAACATAAGTTATCTATAGTGAAAAATAAGTGGTTCCTTTTTGGTTTGAGGAAAATTTATGCATATGCATACTTAATATTTGAAATTCATTAGTAAGGAAAACTATTTGATGCATAAAGTGGAAATTTAAGGTTATTAGACTAGTGATCCAGTGGTACAAGAATGATACTTAAGTATTTTAAGAATTAAATGGGGAATGGAATCGTTGGATGAGTGGGGAATAAAAACCTTTATTGTCTTTGTGCCAGCTGCTGTGCTTAATGTTTTTTATGTGTGGCATGTGGCATAAGAGTGGTTACTAGGGTAGCTGGATTTCTTTATTCTATAGATGAGAGAACTGAGCTTATATTTGGTTATGTAATTGATTTACCCAGGGTCTCTATAAAGCCAGAAAATGCTAGATAGGATATTTGCATTCATGTTTGACTCTAAAGCTCCATATCTTTTCACTCAGTTTTCATGATAAATGTCTTCCCACTTTATATTGGTAATACAAGGTGCCAGTGGATGCAGTATATCTAACTTCAGTACTGAACATCAAATGGAATAATTTTATTGTCTTTGTCTTATGAAATATTTTTATGTTTTATCATTAAGGGTGTAAACATTTAGTTTGGTGAAATAAATGGTCCACTATTTCAGTGTAACAAATAGGAGTTGAGATATGTTAAATATATGGGCAAGTTCTTCTGAGGCTCTTGAAGCAGTTTAGGTTGCCTAATGTTGCATGTCTAAAGTTTGCAAAATTATAACACCGTCTGCACATGTAATGCCAGGTGTTCACTGCTAAAGGGACTAGTTGGTTTGGGCAACTGGTTTTACTTTTTCTTCAATGACTTAAGTAACTCTTTTGCCTATCACTAAGGAAGACAACCTTGAAATTTTTTTAGCTTTATTTAAAAGCCCACAAAGATATAAAAAACTATATTTAAGATGGAGTAATCTTAATGAATATTTTTTTATTTTAGCACTTTTTCAGCCATTAACTCCAGGATCTCGTGAATTTGAAGATGTTTTAAATATTCTCCATTCATCTTACCTTGAACCAACCTCAGTAACAAATTTTAACTACAAACGTGCTTGCTTGGTACATAATGAGCTTTTGGAAAAGGAGGTATGTTTTAAATTGTGATTGTTGTCAGATTCTGCAGAATCAATTAATAGTCTGGAATTTGTTTTACTTTCCCTTTCTTTAAAAATGCTAGAGTTTTTTAGGAAAGCCAAATTGTGGAAGGGGAAACAAGTTTTATTTTATTTTATTTATTTATTTTTATTATTTTTTTAAAATTTGGAGGATGCTACTCATTAGTTTTTTGGTTTTTTTTTTTTTAAGATTTCATTTACTTATTTTTTAGAGAGGGAAGGGAGGGAGAGAGGGAGAGAAACATCAATGTGCGGTTGCTGGGGGGTCATGGCCTGCAACCCAGGCATGTACCCTGGCTGGGAATCAAACCTGCGACACTTTAGTTCACAGCCCGCGCTCTATCCACTGAGCTACGCCAGCCAGGGCTGGAAACAAGTTTTAAATGACATCTTTTTTCCCCCTAAACATTGTTGGTATGTCACAACATTGATCTGCTGTTAATGTGTGATTATATAAAATAACTTTTTACTAAATATGAATCTTAAGCATAAGGATAGCTTATTGGCTTTTTGCTCCTTTTTTTAAAAGATTTTATGTATTTATTTTTAGAGAGAGGGGAAGAGAGGGAGAGAAATATCCATGTGTTGTTGCTTCTCGCACCCCTCTACTGGGGACCTGGCCCACAACCCAAGCATGTGCCCTGACTGGGAATTGAATCAGTGACCTTTTGGTTCACAGGCTGTTGCTCAGTTCATTGACCCACACACACCACCTGGGGCTTTGCTCTTTCAAGTACATGCTAATTAAATGGAATCACTAATCATACAATATGTCTAAATTGCAAGATAATGAAGTCGAATATGTATTTTTCTCTTTTAGGATATGCTTAATCTTTTTCCAGTTGTTACCTGATGATTGAATTACCTTATTACTAGCTGAAATTTTAGAGAAAAAGTGCAAACAAAGGGAAATAATTAAGTGTGTTAAATAGTGAATTTACACTTCATGTATATATTAGAATATTCCTTGAGTTTTGATTTAGGAAAATCCAATGCGTAATTCTGAAGTAATACAAGTAAGGTGTTTAGATATATTTTATGTATGTATTACTTTCTCATGTACATGAAATACTGTTATTTTTGTTCCTGTGTAAGTTGGTTAATCCAGTGCTACCAGAATTTACCTTTGGAAGAATCTCTATGTTACTGGCTGCCAGAGAAAATGAAAACCTTGGTAGTTTGATGTGGTTTCATGGCATGATCTTGTTAATTTTATATGAAAACTTAGTCTGTAGATTCTCTGATTATATTATTGAAGATCAGTAATGGCCTGCATACATTAAATCTATTAGATATGGGCTATCTTTTTCGAATGTATATTTATCTACTTGTGTCTAAAAGCAAAAGCCAGCAGTTTAGGGTGACTCACCCTAAACTGTTCAGTTCAGATATACTTAGACTAAGTCACTCTTTTATCCTGGAACTATGTATGGAGCACGTTTTATGTACTTGGCATTGAGAATACACTCACTAAGAAATGAAACATTTTTTTCTTGTCTTAACTGAGTTTACAGTTAAGTTGGTCATTGTACACAGATTTATTAAACCACTTTATGCAGTGCACCACGTTAAATAAAATGAAAGATCCAGATAATTAAAACATGAACTTTAAAATGTATGGGAGAGTTGGAGTGGTAAAATTTTAATAGAAATGAAGTTAAAATTGATAGATACCAGATGCATATTTGACTATATTGTAAAGGTAAAGAACCAATTAAAATAAGAGAAAAATGAAAACACAGAAATTACAGCTGAAGAAAAGATAATTTCTACTTTAGTTGGTTTGGAATTTTTTAGAAATAAAATTTCTGAAACTCTTAGCTCAGAAAATACATTCACATATTACAGAGTTGTTATGGGTTTAATTTCATTTAGTTTACAGAAAAGCGAAGAGAATTGAAGTTTGATGGCCGTTTAGATAAAGAACTTTCAGAATCCTATGCATTTCTGATGGTTGATCGATATCAGGTAAGTGATCCCATTTTATAAAAAGCATTGTAAGATACCCATTTTTTAGTTATTCAGCAGTACACTTGATAATTACAAATAACATTTTCTTGATGTATAAATAGAAATGATTTAGTAAGGTGAAGGTATTTCATTGTTTGTGATTTGTTTTTCAGATGTGTTCATTTTTTTTCTGACCAGACCTATTTTCTTCCCCTAGAATGTGCTTGATAATGAATAATTTTCTCTTTATTAAAATGGATTATCTCCCATATTGTTGATTACATGTGCTGGGATCTATTTTTTCTCCTTCAGTTGAACATTGAACATTGAAAATGTTAAAAAAAATTGAACATTTTTTAGGTGGAATTATTTTCTCTTTAAATATTTTACTAGTTCTAATTCACTCTAAAAGGGTTTGTTTACATATGAGTGACATGAATTCTAAGTATCTCACACTCAGCATAAATAAAAAGGGATTTCAGCTATGGTTACATTGGAATTGTAAGCCAGTTTCATATTGATATTTAGTCATAAATTGCCATATATATATAAAATGTCTGTAATGTACTAAAATACACAGGTTGGAAGCTTAGATTTTATTTAAAACAAGTTTACAAATTATCTTTTCACATTTTCCATGTATTAAGATTGCAAGATGAAGTGTTTTGTTTATTTAGGTTCAAAGCATATGTGAAAAAGGATTACAGGTGGGCCAGTCCAAAATAACAATTCTTGGCAGTCCTTCCATGGGTAATCTTTTTTCTTTTTTCATTTATCTACTATTAAGTTGCCATTTAAAAATATATTATCTAGTTTTGCTGTAGTTGTTATAAATTTATGTATGTGTTGTCATGTTCCCAGAGAAGGAGACTAATTTTAGGTTCTGTGATGTAGAACCAGTTTTATTCTTTGTTTCTGATTTTTGCATGCTCCAAATTGATAGAAAAAAATTATCTTTTTAAAAATGTCTTAATCTAGTCCTAGTAAATTTGAAAAATTTGATTAGTTGCATGTTTTCTTTTGGTTTTATTTTGCTTTGCTTAAATATTAGCTATCTTTACTGTCATTACAGTTTTTAAAAGATGTCAGTCATTGTTCATCTCATTATTAAATATTTAGTTTTTTATGGTCTTGTCCTTATTCAAATTCAAATTTAAACAATTTTCCGTCTTTATTAGGTATCTATCTTTCTAGGTATGCTGATTTATTACAAGCTAATCCTTTGGAAGCTGGGGCAGTGGGTGATATTATTATTTTTAAAATAATGAAGGTAATTTCAACTTTTACATTTCATATATCAAAGAAAGCATTTCATTTGTCTTTTAATTGAGCCTGCTTTTGGAAGTGCGATTAAATTAAAAACTGCTTGCTTGTGTTTAGTATAAAGATACTTTTGAGAGTATTGTGCCATCTTTGATGTAAATTACTGTAATTTAGACTCAGCAGGGGTATCTGACCCTTTGGTGTCTCTGGGCCACACATTAAATACACAAACACGAATGAAAACTGATAAGCAAAAAATAGGTTTTAAGTAAATTTACCATTTTGTTTTGGGCTGTATGTGGGCTCCAGGTAGACACTCCTGCTAGAGTTTGGTTTCCTTTCCAAAGAATCGAATGAAGAAAGGAGGATAATGTGTTGGTAATGCCATTTAGGCTAGTGAAGAATGTTGTGAATAAAATTTTTATTTCCTTGTTATAGAACAAATTCAAACAACACTTAATTTGCATGGTGAACTTTTTCTTCTGCTTCAGTATTGACAAAAAGTGTTGAATGTTACTTTATTACCAGATATTAAAGGAAAAAACTTGTTATAGGTTATCTATATTCAAAGAAGTATTCTATAATGGCAATTAGTCAATAATTAGGTTTGGGTGGACTTAAAGGGTTTTCTGTATTTTAGGGTAAAATAAAGAGTATATACGACCCCATGGGTGTAAAATGTTTGGACTCTACATTAAATAAAAGTACTTTGGACCCAACCCCAAAGCATGAATGTCATGTGTCAAAGAATGCCAATAGAATTACATCACTTTTGGCTTACCGAGCCTATGAGCTTACTCAGGTAGGTACCTGAATCCATTTTAGTGTTATGACCTAATGATATCTCTTTTCACCAAATCCTTTAAAATGTCTCACTTTCAGTTTCCTCTGCCATGACAGTCGAGATACTGGTTTCCAAATTTTACTGCCAGACTCCAGTGTCTCTCACTGCTGTTTGTTCAGTGTTTCTAAGAAAGCTCAGAAACATCAACTTGCAGATGATATTCAGATTCCTTAGCCTAGCTCACCTTGCCTGTAGACTGTTACTTCCATCTTTTTTTGGTGTCATCTCTGCCCTCAACATACCTCAGTTCATTTTGAAGCCTTGGCTTTTACTGGCCTAGAAAGATCTCCTGCCAAATAAAACTACTACTCATCCTTTAAGGTAGAGTTGAAGCCCCTTGAAATACCTTAATTCATATTATTTTGTACTGTTGATTTCATAGATATTTTCTACTTTTATTAACATTTTTCTAAGATCCAAATGACAGTTAATTTTTAAGCTTTAGTCAGATGTAATTGATACACAGTAAACTACACATACTTAAAAGTGTTCTATTAGATGAATTTTAGTCATGTTTTTAAATGATGTTTGACTATAAAGTAATGTTACCATTTTTAACAAATCTACAAAAAATGTAAGCATCCAAATGGATTGTATGTGAAAAATAGTGGTGCTAATCTCCCTGGAAATGTTTTTTTTTTAATTTCTTTAATTTTTACTTTAATTACATAGAATTTCTTCTGTTTTTTTAATCCTCATCTGAGCACATGCTTATTAATTTTTTTTTTTTAAGAGAGGGGAAGGAAGGGAGAGAGAGAGGGAGGGAAAGGAACATTGATTGGTTGCTTTTCATACATGCCCCAGCCAGGTACCAAACCCACAACCTAGGCATGTGCTCTGACCAGGAATCAAATCCGTGACCTTTTGGTTTGCAGGATGACACCCAACAAACTGAACCACGCCAGCCAGGGTACTTCTTTCTTTTTGAAGAATCTCAGTGGGCAAGACCTGTTGTTGGGGGCTTTTAGCAAAAATTATATTCACCCAAGTCATCTAGACTGACTTCATTTGATTACCTTCTGGACTGTAGTATTGGTAGGTGTGAGATATAACTGTAGAGTATGTATTTAAAATGGCTTGATATTTCTAAAAAATTTCCAAGCATTTTCAGAGCAACAACATTATTGAAATCAGTAGTACCCCAAGGGAATGGACTTTGAAGCACAATGCTTTATTTGTAACCTGGGACACTCTTTTTAATGAAAACCACTAATCTGCAAGTCATAAAACCCTGATCTAATGAATGTTGTGAATAGGTGAAGGGGAAAAGCAGACAGGTAGTAATTAGAAGGTCAACTACCTTTGTTACTTATGCTTGTAATCTCGTCCACCTCCCTTTTGCTGCTTTGTCTCTAGTTAGAGCCAAGAAAATGTTTTTCTTTTGATAAGATGAACAAAGACATGGTGGGTGTGGTTGTAATTGTGTCCTTAGTATTTTACTTTTTGTACGAAATTGGCTTTTCTGGGCTAATGTGGGAGCTTCATTTATAACTTTTATGAGGAAATTTGTTGACCATGTTCCCAGTGGTTAGCTCTTCAGAAATAAACTTTTGCAATACCTATTAGTATCCTGGTATCTGGAGTGTGTGTATATACACACAAGCGCACACACACACACGGAATATTTTATATCATAAAGTGTATAAAGTAGAAATTGTATAGTTAAATTGACAAGCAGTGCTTAAAGATATTTTCTGTTGGAGGCACATTTCAGAGTTATATTTCTCAAAAATCAGGCAGATAAATACAAGATTTCCACTCTGTACTTTCTGCCTTTTTAAAGAAGTTAATTTTGTATTATCTTATTTTTAGTATTATTTTTATGAGTATGGGTTTGATGAGCTAAGGCGAAGACCAAGACATGTGTGTCCATATGCTGTTGTGTCTTTTACTTACGAAGATGATCTACAACCTCCGAAGTTTGTACCTTCATCAAGGTAAGGTTTAGGAGTTTTAGACATCAGATGGTATTATATCACATATCCTGGACTGCCTGGTTAAAAGGAACACTTTATTTTGTTCCCATTTTCTTTTTCTTCCCTTGAAGTTAATTAAATAAATGTTCACAGTGATTTAAAAGGTCAACATGAAGGACAGATACTCAAACTATGTGGCAATACAAACTAACATTTACTTGAACCTCACTGGTTAACCTCTTTTTCCTTGATAATGAAGGTTTGCATAGTTGAATAAATGCAGTTTTTAAAAGTGAAATTTTATGTATTAGCCCTCCCAAAAATGGGGAGTTTCTACTAAAGATTCCCAGCATTACCTCAAACCAATTAAATCAAATATTTATTAAGTAGCTCAGGTATTGATAGTTAAAAGCTTCCAGGTGATTCTGATTTTTAGAGTTGAGTAGCATTGATGACTTCTTACAAGCTCTAATAAAAGGTCACCAAATACAAAGCAGTTTCCCCTGTTTTTATTCTCATGTAGTTATTCCACAGAATGTTTTGGCAAAATTAAGTAAGTACAGTGGAACCTTGGTTCTCAGACTTAATTCATTCTGGAAAACTGTTCAAGAAGCGATTTATTCAGCCAAATCTCCTTAGTCATTTGAGAGACTTGTGACTGATTGTATAGGTATCAGCACAAAAGTGTTTTTGGATAGAGAACCAAGACCAGAAGTTTTGTTAGATGACTGAGATTTTTTTCTGTGAACAACTTGGTTGATAAATGAATTGTTCAAGAACCAAGATGTTTGAGAGCTGAGGCTTGATATGAACTTAAAAAGGTATAGGTGAAATGGTCAAATGTCTTATTTTTACTTTGAGTACCCATATTCAGGGTCATGTAGGTATCTGTTAATTTAGAAATACTGCTATTTTTAGAAAGCCACATTTCGTAAAGCATACTATACATTTTTGAAGTTGACCTCTTTACAGTTTCCAGATCAAATAATCTTGTCTTCATTTCAATTGTTTGAGATTTAGCGCTTTTTTCATATCAATGATTAGTTCTGTTAACCATCCATAGCCACAAGTATGGATTCATATAATATCCAGACAGTTGTGGTTTTGTGTGTGTGTGTGTGTGTGTCTATTATCTCCATGATACAGTTACTATAGTGCCTTTCAGCTGTGATCTTCAAAAGGTACTCATCACTTGATGAATATGAGGTCATACAAGAATGACTGTCCATTAATTTTCTTTGCCTTCTGTTTGATTCTGTCTGTTGACTTTCATAGCATTTTAAACAAGCATTGATTGAATATCCTTGCTCTGCCTTGAATGTCACCATCAATACACCTACCTCAGGGCCTCCACATTTTGCTGTTCCCTCTCTTTCCCCAATTAGCTGCATAATTTACACCTACACTTCTTTCAGATCTCTCCTAAAAGATGACCTTATCAGTGAGGTCTTCTGTGATTTTTTTAACCTCTGTACTTGAGTGTCTTTTTTCTTTTTATTCCTTAGAATTTAAAACCATTATCATCTGGTAAATTGTATACCTACCTTTCTGCTTGTTGTCTGTCTGCTTCATGAGTTATAAACTCGATGAAGGCACGAGTTTATTCATCCCTGTAGTCCTCCTGTTAACTTAGAATATTAGTAAATGCTTATTGAATGATGAATGGACATACTTAAATATATATATTGAGGCCATTTCTTCAAATCTTATTACCAGAATAAAGTAATTGACAGACACATTAATGGATTCTGTTTTCTCTTGATGAATATTTTTGGGGAAAATGATCCCTTAATTTTGGGCAAATATGGTAATTTAAGTCAAGAAACTAATTTTTTTCTCAAAGTAGACTTAGATTTATAAATGTCACAGTAAGTAAGTAACTGGTTCCTTCTAGTTGGAGGGAGAATTTCATTCTCTTGTATAGTATGCCATTAAAACTAGCAGTTAAATTAAGGTCCTGAATGTTAACTTTTATGTTAGCAATTAGTAATTTTTTTAAAATTTATTTGTAGATCTAACAGCTTTAATGCAGATAGAAACACAGGTAAGATTCTTTCCTTTGTTTTCTAAATCAAATGTAAGAGTAAGTACATGCAGTAAAAAATAAGGGCCTTGTTTCATTTTTATAATGAATGGGAGACTGCAAAGTATTGAAAAGGAAGGCAAGGTTGTGTTAAGATGTAGCATCAACATTTGGTCATCCAAGTGTAAGATCTCCTTTAAGAAGATACTTCTGCTGTGACTAGACTATAAGGTTTTGGCACTTTGATTGATAATGCTAAAAAATAAAACAAGTTTCCCAGCTCACCTTTTAAAAGTATTAAATTCATCAGAGGTTTAGGCCCAGTTTCTTTACATGAAAAGAGATTGATAGGAGACATTGTAAGGATGAACATAGTTAATCGGATTTAATACAGTCTCCCTTAGGGGAAATAACAGGTCAGTAACTGTATTGTCTTTGCTTCTCAGCTTTCTGATATGAAGACATTTAGACAAATTTGGTATTCTCTGCAGCTGGAATAAATTTGTAGGGGAAATGATAGCTTAAACAAAAATCCTAGTATTTGAATTCTCCTGTATATAGAAATACCAAGTATTTTGGTTTTTGTTGTTCTACAAAATCTTGTTTGTAGATGTTTTTCCCCTTATTTCTAGTAAACATGTATTTGCTTCTGGACTGCCAAGAATTGTGTCTTTTTTTTTAATTTAGATAAATTTAACTACACCTTGTGGAAAGGACAGCTTTTAAATAAAGGAAAGCTTTTGTGCTATATTTCTTTGAGGTCAGCCACTCGTGCTTTTTTGCCTATCAAACTGTAAGTACACTATATTGCAAAAAAGAAAACCCAGCAATTTTGCTGTTTTGCTTTTTTTCTTAGTTATATTTAAATTTTACTTTTGTCCATTAGAACTTAGATATAAATATTGGTTTGTTTTTAAAAAGAGTAATTTTATATCTTTAGATACTTAATTGGCAAAATGAGCCCTCTGCTTTTCTGTCTTGATTTGAGGATGGGCTAAAAAGTCATACACATATTTGGGGCATAAAACTTCTTTTTAGTGAATTTCAATTTTAAGTGATTTTTCACAGTTTTAATTTAGTTAGATATATTTTCCATTTAGTAATTTGAACATGATAAACTTAAAAGTTACCAGTTTTTTGTTGGAAACAGTTTTGATGTGGTGAGTTAAAATTTATAGGCTGTTTCAGTCTTGTGCAACATGTTGGAATAGAAAGGTCTAAAATGATCTTTTGCTACCACCACAGTAAACATTGAGTCTTTAAAAACATTTGAAGATTATGTTAACAGTATTTACTTGAACTGTCTTTAATAAAATGATCTCATATTCTTTGTGGTTAGTAATATTGACATACAGAATTAGCTTCAGCCTTAAAGTTGGAAGGTTGGTAATACTACCAAGTTATCTGTTTACTGTATATCTGGACTTCTCATATCAAATCCTTGTTAAAGTATGATATTAATAAATATGCTCTGTTTTCCAGCAAGATATTTGTGTGTGTGTGTGTGTGTGTGTGTGCGCGTGCGTGTGCGCGCGCGCTCGAGAGAGAGATACATACCATTGCAAAATACAGGTTAGGAAATACGATTTTTCAATTTTCTTTCAGTCCTGAGAAGTTAGATGTTGAAACAGTTATGAGTATTGATCATCTGAAACAGAAAATTCATCCAGCACTGTTTTACAAGGAAGCATACTTCGGTTCAAATGAAGGTAAAGTAATTATAATTTTACTGAAATAATAATAAGTAGACTTGAATTAGAAAATTTACCATGTATTTTTTCTTATGCCAGTTTCAAAGAGTGGAATGTATTGCAGTCTTTATGAAGTTGTAGAAAAGACAAGAATTGGAAGTAACATGGAGAGTTTACTGCAAAAACTAGAGAAAGAAAAACTTGTGAGTTAAGTTTAAAACGTTCTTCCTCCTTTACAAATATGCATATTAATAAGTGATCATATTAATATTTCAATTTATTTTACTTTTGCCTCTGAAAGTACCACAAGCTCTCTGTCTTTGTTGCTACCAATTAGTTAATAGTGTTTTACTATGGCCTGTGGTACACTGTTTTATAGCTATGATATATAGATCTTCTAGACCAGTCTTCTCATGTATCTTTGTTGTATTTTGTGATTGTAATGGTGATATTAAAAAAATACTTAAATCATTTATTTATGCAGGGTATACAGTTTAGTAAAAAATGAGACAAAGAGACTGTTTTCCTGGACTACACAGATAGTCCAGGAAAATCTGTTCAATTCCTGAGCTCAGAAAGTGAAAGTTTATATAGTAGGTTTGGATGGAGTTACTCAGATAGATGTGGTTTGTTCTAGGAGAGATAGTACCATATTTGAACATTCAAAAAGAAGGTGCTTTGTGAGGTTGAAGAAATAAAAGAACACTATAATAGTTGGGAGAAAGTGGTAGAACCTGAGGGCAGAAAACTCTGTAGGAGACTGTCCTACAGCATCATTCAGCAAATCTTCAAATGTTTTGGAACTTTGGACTTGATCTTAAGAGCAATGGTTTTTAAAGGGAGTGGGATGAGGTTTTGATTATGTGTGTAACATGACCAAATCTATGTTTCACGTTCTACCTTGGTTGTTACATAGAGAATGAATTGAAGGGGGGAGAGAGAGAGATGAGGTAGGAAACTATTAGAGGATGATGGAGGGTAGGATGAGAAAGTTAAGAATGACAATATATTGTAATAAGAGAGTCAGGTAAGAACTATTTAGTAGATAGTATCCAGTTTAAGAGAGACTGAATATGTTGAGATTAGAGGGGTTAGGTGAGGCATTATATTGTAACGTGTTCTGGAATGAATGAAAAATGAATTTGTGATGCTAATGTACAATTTAACTGAAGGAGAGGAGTGGTTGCAGAAAAGGGTAGTGGCTATTCCAAGGTTTCTATTAACATGAGATAGGCAAGCTCATGTTTAAATATATAAATGCTGATCCAACATTTCAGTAGAGAGGAAGAGAATTTTTTTGTGCAGGTATGTCATTTAATACATATTATTCAACAGTTGACTTCTTTTTACTCCTTTATTGTGCCTCAGTTTCCATATAGTCAAATGGAGATTTGTATCACTGATTTTCAGAACCCACCATTTCATTCTTATTGTCTACATAGAATTTTCATTGTATGCATTATAGATTTGCTTAACCAATCTATTGTTTATAGATGAGCTTGTCAAATTATATACAAATTACAGGCAGAATTTGTACACTTATAAATTATTAGACACCCAGTGATAGCTCTGACCAACTAGTTAGAAACTATTGAGCTAGACATCATAGAACACACACAAGCACATTCAATATATAAGAACATACTCTTTTTATATTTACATTTCTTGTTTTCCTCAGAAAGCCTGTCTATAATACAAGTATTTCTCATGATCAAAGTCTGTTTGGTTCCTGAATTCAGAAAGTGAAAGTTTAAGATAGTAGGTTTGGATGTGGTAAGTTATCCAAATCTGTTTAGTTTTTTTACATTTCAGAGAATGAGTATTGAGACTCTAGACAGTGAGGAGTTTATCAGAAAATTATAATGTCTGTTCAGTTCCTAATAGTGAGAAGGATACTGGCATTTTGTTCTTCATCTGAGCAAGGTTTGTGGAGGCCTGGGTCTCCCCAGAATCAAGAAGTAATGTGAGACCCTAGATCTTAGAGGGCACAGGCATTCCATAAAAATACACTAACTGGATCTAATGGATCTAGGAATTTGGTGTAGCTGTTCCTTTTCCTGCAAGCTTCATTAGGAATTATCCTAATTATAGTTCCTTTCTTCATAGTTCTTATGATAATGAGAGGTATGCATTGGGGACTTTTGGGTTGTTAGTAATTTTATCTTGCATACACACATGAGGTGTTTTGGATCAGAGACAAACTTAGTGAATACCTTACAGTAAGTAATAAATGTACTGGCCCTCCCTTGCCCTTACCGTTAGGGTAACACAATAATAGGCTAGTTGTAGCTAGAACTCTAGAGGTAAAGGTTGAGAAAGAATTATTTTTCTTTGTTTATAAAGAGAAGGAGGCAGCTATTTCGCTCCCCTCCTGAAAAGGAATCTGAAAATGTTAATGAATGTTAACTCCAACCCTTTGGTAAATAAGTAGAATCTTTCCAGGAGCCAGATAGCTCTCTTGGTTCTTCCAATGACATCTCCAAATTCCTAGGACTCATTCTTGCTTGAAATGTAAATAGGAGACAGAGCTCTCATTCTTCCCAGCACCTTGGGACTTAAACTAGAAACTCATCTGTGCTATAACTTCTTGGTCTTCTTGTGTATCCATGTGGCACTTTTAGGGGAACAAGAAAAATTTAATTATCCTTTGGATTAGAGCAATTAACTAGATAATAGACTACTGATCTAATTCTTTTTTTAAATATATTTTATTGATTATGCTATTACAGTTGTCCCATTTTCCGCCTTCACTCCCCTCCACCCTGCCCACTCCCTCCCACCCACATTCCCCCCTTTAATTCATGTCCATGTGTCATAAGTTCTTTAGCTTCTACATTTACCATATTATTCTTACCCTCCCCCTATCTATCTTCTACCTACCATCTATGCTACTTATTCTCTGTACCTTTTCCCCCTCTCTCCTCCTCCCACTCCCCTGTTGCTAACCCTTCATGTGATCTCCATTTTTGTGATTCTGTTCCTGTTCTAGTTGTTTGCTTAGTTTTCTTTTGTTTTTGTTTTAGGTGTGGTTAATAATTGTGAGTTTGAGTTTGCTGTCATTTTACTATACATGTTTTTTATCTTCTTTTTCTTAGATAAGTCCCTTTAACATTTCATATAATAAGGGCTTGGTGATGGTGAACTCCTTTAACTTGACCTTATCTGAGAAGCACTTTATCTGCCCTTCCATTCTAAATGAAAGCTTTGCTGGATAGAGCAATCTTGGTGTAGGTCCTTGCCTTTCATGATTTGGAATACTTCTTTCCAGTCCCTTCTTGCCTGTAAGGTCTCTGGCGAAATCAGCTGACATTCTGATGGGAACTCCTTTGTAGATGACTGTCCCCTGATCTCTTGCTGCTTCTAGAATTCCCTCCTTCATTTTTACCTTGGGTAATGTAATGATGATGTGCCTTGGTGTGTTCCTCCTTGGCTTCAACTTCTTTGGGATTCTCTGAGCTTACTGGACTTCCTGGAAGTTTATTTCTTTTGCCAGATTGGGGAAGTTCTCCTTCATTATTTGTTCAAATAGGTTTTCCACTTGTTGCTCTTCCTCTTCCCTTCTGGCACCCCTATAATTTGGATGTTGGAACATTTAAAGATGTCCTAGAGGTTCCTAAGCCTTCTCCTCTTTTTTTTGAATTCTTATTTCTTCATTTTGTTCTGGTTGGATGTTTCTTCCTTTTGGTCCACACTGTTGATTTGAGTCCCAGTTTCCTTCCTATCACTATTGGTTCCCTGTACATTTTCCTTTATTTCACTTAACATAGCCTTTGTTTTTTCATCTAATTTGTGACCAAATTAAAGCACTTCTGTGAGCATCCTGATCACCAGTGTTTTGAACTGTGCATCTGATAGATTGGCTATCTTTTCGTCACTGAGTTATATATTTTTTTGGAGCTTTGATCTGTTCTTTCATTTGGGCCATGTTTTTTTTGTCTTGATGTGCCTGTTATGTAGTGAGGGGGAGACCCTTAGGTTTTCACCAGGGCGGGGCAACCCAGTCGCTGCTTTGTGACACTGTATGTGGGGCAAGGGTCTGAGAGGGAACAATGGGGCTTGCTCCGCTCTCTGCCAGATTTCATTCACTTCTGACACTTCCCCCAAGAAAACCAGGCCCTTCTGGTGCTGATTCCCGTGTGGGTGGGTTTGTGTACATTCTGGGAACCTGTGGGTATCTCCAGTGAACTCTCCTGTGAGGCTGGGAGTTTCTCCCGGCACCTCAACTCCTACAGGTGTTTTCAATCCGTGTTTTGAGGCTTCATTTCCTGGTGCTGGAACCCTGGGTTTCATGGTCTGTCTTGCTCCCCAATTTCACCTGGTTCATCTGTGCCCTACTGTGGGACTGCCTGGTTCTGCAAGCCTACTTGTGTGCCAAGCCCCTCTACAATCTGCTGCCTGGCTGGGTCCACCAGCCACCACTTTTTTTGCTGCAACCTCTCCCTTCTCAGCTGTGCCCCTCCTAAGGATTTGGATGAATTTGTCTACTTTCCTGATCTAATTCTTAAGATATGTGAATAGCAAAATATTTCTGGGGGAAATGAAAGCAAACATTCCCTATCTTTATTTAATACAGATTTCTGTTTATCAGGAGGTAGGAGCTTTTTGTAGGAGCACTGAGAAGTCTGGAAAAGTTTTATTTTCCCACAGGAAGATATATAAAATAAGTAAAATTATATTGAGCTCTTTTTTGATGGGTGATAAGTCAAGTTTTAAAGTTGACATTAATATTAAAAAACATATGAGAGCAATGTCCCTAAATTTGAATATTTTTTCTGCTATAAACATTCTTCATAGGTAACTTTATCAGTTTAAAAAATTTTTTACAGATTGTATTCATTTTAGAGGAGGGGGGAAAGGAAGGAGAAAGAGGGAGAGAAGCATCAATGTGTGGTTGCCTCCCCTGTGCCCCCTACTGGGGACCTGGCGCTCAACCCAGGCATGTGCCCTGACTGGGAATTGAACTGGCAACCCTTTGGTTCCCAGTCCTGTGCTCAATCCACTGAGCTATACCAGCCAGGGATAAAGCTTTTTCTTCATTTTTCAACCATAAGTGGATTTTGAATGTTATTTAATGCTCTCTCTCTCTTTTTTTTTTTTTTTTTCATTTATCAAGATAGTTACATGGTGTGTTAGGATTTTCCAGATAAACAGAACCAATGGCATGCATACACACACACACACACACACACACACACACGTATAC